CTTTCACTCTAACCCGTTTTACACACTTATAAGCAGCTCGATACAGCATTACGGGGACTCGGTAATCGAGTGACACACACACGAACAGCAGGAGACATGAGGGTAAAACGTCTCAGGGTGGTGTCAGTTTTAGCTACAAGTGTAGAGAAATTAGAGATGAAACAAAAAAACTTTAACAAACAAGAATATGGAGTTGTAATTTATATCTTCCAAATATAATTTAAGGTTTGTCTCTATATTTATTTTTTTTTTAATTTGCAAATGTATTTTTAATCCTGTAAAGAAAATTCAAAGTTTATATTTTTTGAAATTTATAATTTTTGTATGACTTATTAAAACAGTGTCACTTATTGGTTTGCTTTTGTAAACAGATAAAACAAAAACAGCCTCGTTGTGTAAGGCAGGTCAAAGATTTTTACAGTTTTGACAACAGTCCAACTCCAGTGATGCATGAGAACAAATTCCTTGCTAACTTGCACCAACATGACAAGCAGCATCATTCACGTCTGTTTACTCTATTTACAACAAGCACTTCTTTAAATTGACACAAACGGGCAATCGCTTTCTGCAGGGAGTTTCTTGTGTGATCCAGCTTCTTTCTGTCTGCTTCATGTTATTGTGTTTTTTTTTTTTTTTTGCTGCATGAAAAGAAAAAAAAACAAAAAAAAAAAAAAAAAAAAAAAACAAGAGGGGCCAACAAATCTCCAGTAGGCTCGCTCCTACTGCTGTAAACTAATTCCAATCAATCCTTCCTTTTTGCATCCAAAGCAGCCTCTGCTGGCTGCCACCGCCTGAAGATAACTATTTCACCACCTCTGTCATGCCTAATTAACAACTCAGATGTACAATTTAGAAATTCCGCAATTAACCTAGTAAAATATTGTTGGAGGATACTAATTGTTATGCCAGTTGCCATAAAGGCTCATTTGCATAACGTATGTGCAAAAAACAATTATGAGCTGTTGATCGCGCAGAAAGCCTGCAGAAAATGCTTCGAGCGATTGATGCGGGGGAGGTGGGGGGGCGTGTGTGTGTGTGGGGGGGGGGGTGATAGGGTGTGCAGATGGAAGGACAGCATTGGATCATTGTACTGAGGAGAGGAAAAAAAACAGATTTAAGGAGCTGTGTGTGCAGAAGCAAGGCGACACGGCTGCAGACATCCCTCCTCGCAGCACTTACCCTTCCAAATGAAACTGATATGTACGCTCTTGTTTTTTTCTCTCCGTCCTCTTTGTCTTGCTCCCCTTCTTTTCATTTTGCACTGATGGTGGGGGGAAATGGAGGGTATTTGGGAGCTACTTAGATAATAGCCACATCTTCCCCGAGTCCCCCTTGTGCTATAGAGGAGGAAAAGCAGTAGGGCCCTGCCATTGAGTCAGTCAGGAACCCAGCTGTGCACGAACCATTCGGCACAACGCTATCTAGTCACTCCAGCCGCATCACGGCAGCTCCCTGAGACAAAAAGCAGCCAAAGTCAATTGTCTCTGCAGCTGAATGGCTTTCTGTTCTCTGTCATGCATTTACTAAAGCTTTTCAGGATGAAGGAAGCCCATAAGACAGTGAAATAAATGTAAAATTAAACTTCTTTTGTGTCGAACATAATTATTATGAATATTTCTTGTTATTAATGGTATTAGGAGGGAGAAGGGGCTCGTTAAGTTTGTCAGGGAACACTGAAATTCATTTTCCCCAAAGATTAAAAAAAAACTGCTTACCTCCTCAGTCCTAACTCTATTTACTGCAGGTAATGCTTTTAGTCTACCTTGCATGTGATTAATTACAGCCTCATCCTGAACTGTGTTTAGTTAACCAGACCTCACGGATACATGGAAGCACGCCTGAACCGTACGTGATGGTACCGCTGGGCTTCCGAGCGCCAACCGAACGGCGACGCTCCTCTGACCTGGGAGTGTATCTCTCTTCCTAATCCACAGCCACAAACAGTGGATCACAGCAGTTATCAGCCTGGATCTGCCACACATGCCCTCCCCTCTCTCGCTCTCCTCTCTCTGTCTTTTGGACTACCAGCTCCCCCCAACTACCCCATGCCCCACCCCCTCCCAATTTCTGAACCTGATGAGTCAAAGGTCAGGAAAACAACAAGTCAATACGCGAGCAGGTTAGAAGCGCCTCGCAGCTGAGAGAGAGCTGTGGAGAAGGCTAAAGCCTCTCTGTAGCGCTCCTCGGTTTAGCCTGTAATAGTTTTCTGTAATCTCTCTCTATTGATTAAACCTCACATCAACGAGGAGTCTTGCCACAGAACCTCTCTTTTCCTGGTCAGAAATACCATATGGAGGTAATCTTTCACCTTTGTTATTCCTGCCGCTCCCACTGCTTGCTTGCTGCCTTCTGCGAGCCCCTTCTTCCAAAGGCACGGGGAGCGAGACAAGGGGGAGTCGAGAGCAGGATAAAACAAACCCCAGCGCAGAGGAATAACTGCAAAAGTCATCTGAAGCGCGGGGCAAATCTCACTCAATGCATTCATTGTCCTCTCTCGCAGCCTGCAGGGCGGAAAGGTACGGTCTGAATGTATCTGTTGTCCTGACATACGGAGAAATTGAATATTTGTCCCGAAATATCTGCATAAATCACACACTGAGGGACAAAGAACAACACAACTGGATATCACATTTAGCTTATCTGAATGCAAAACCCAGAAGAAGAAAAAAAATATGGGGTGGGGTGGGCTCCCGCTAAAAACACTCAATTTAGTGACAGGCAAATGACTTCATGCTGCCACTTAATCTCATTTCTTGCATAATGTTCTCTAATTAGCATATCAAAGTGAATTAATACTTCTAGGGCATTAGCAATGCAGAAATGTGCCGTAGCGCCACAATAACAGTTCGAGACGTGCCATAAAACCTCCAAACCCCCCTGACATGTCTTCAAAATGTCATAAAATCAGGAGAAAAAAAAGCACTTTGGAAAGTTTTGATTCACACCTTGATCACAAAAATTAGGAGCAAAACTTTGAGTCCCTATGATCACATGCGCACATGAGATTTTACACAGATATGTCTTGGGTTTTAGGGTCTATTATAAAACGGCAATAACAGCTGAAAGACAAACAATCTGTGTGTCATCTGACCAGACATGAAAGGGCCGAGGAGGTCCTGAACGGAGGAGGGGGGCAACAGGAGCCAGTGAAAGGCTCACTGTACACTGCAAGAACAGGCCGGTCAGAAAGGCCACTGGACCAGCTGAGCCCTGTCAGGGGT